AGCCACCGGGTCCGGGACACGAACCACGGTCGACTACGTGGGAGTCCAGCGACATAGCCATTACGCTAACTGCTGGTTCCCTTAGCAGCTCAATTTTTCTGCAAAGTCCACTGAACATGTCAGCCAAAGGCAAAAGCCCATTGCTAAGGAAAGAGCTTGAGTAACCTCTTAGAGGGCAGCGGGGGATAAGCGAGGCGACCAGTGCCAGGTGTAAGCGCAAAGTGCCAGTTACTCTCTTGTTCCCTCTAGAAGTGTGAGGCTAATTGGGTTTGAGAGCAGTCGTCAGTCTGAAGTCTGTGCGTTCGCGAAGTGCACCAGATTTGTAATGACGTCATAGACTGCTGGATGGGAAGGCCCTGGGAGAGAGCCTTGGATTCGAACTCCTTTTACAAAACTTTTCTGTTATTTTTTTAATTATTCATTTCAGTTTTGAAAATGTTTCTTACCAGAGGTTGTATGTGCTTGCCAGAGAGAGAGAGAGACTCCAATGGGGCACGGTAACACCAAAATCCCCTCTCCATTTCTCCATCCTTTCAGATTTGGGCACACACACACATGTGCCTGGTGTGCTTTTTCAAGCCATGGGGGCTGGGATTTGAACCTTGGTTGCTCATGTCAGATTCAGCTCCTTAGCCACTATGTCCTAGGGCCAGCCCAATTCCAACTCCTCTTTGACCAACACTAAAATCAAATCAGAAGACCCAGTTATTCAGAATCCTGTTGGCAGTCAGCTTATAGAGAAAAAAGGAAAATGATAAGAAAGCCCATGGATGACAAGGGTGTTTAAACAAGCATGAAAATATCCAGGTGACATCCATTCCTGTTACTCTCTGACACTGAGAATCTAGTCCTGGATGGTGATCCCCAAATTCAGAAAGACAAAGCACCAGAAGCCCCGGAGACAGAAACACAAACAAGTTAATTCTCTTCTCTCTAAGCTGCACTTACGAGACAGGAATGGGAAGGCACATTCTGGAAAGTTTTCAGACAAGGTTAAGCCCTGGTTAACCAGAGAGCTCAATGAACTGGATGCGCTGCTTGGGACCTGCTTGTGCTTTGCCTGCAGTCACTGGCTCAGTAAATGTGCATTTGTTCCCCTAAGGTTACGGCCAAGACCACTACAGGAGGTCCTCTGAGCCACTGCGAGGTTCTGTCCTCCCTCTCCCGCCTGCCAGGCATGGCCTCCCTGTTTTTCTTCCCCCTTCTTGCACGAAAAGAGCTCTAGGGTGACAGGAAGTGTGATGACTCATCTGACATTGGATTGAGTCCTTGTTATTTGCCCTATGTCTGCCTCAATCTCTGACACTGGGAACAACCCAGTTATGTTTTGTGATTGTTCTTACTTCCCAGGAGACGCACGTGGATCGCAGTGGGCTTTGGCTGTTGGAAAGGGCTGAGGCACGCAGCTCTCTGGTTCTCTTTGTTTTGCACGATCCTTTGCCTAGGAAGAGAAGTCAGAGTGGGTCTGGATCATGCTGGCCAGCCAGGTGCAGGGAGTCCTCCTCTCGGGTGTGTGTCCCTGGTTGTGTATATTCATATCTTTCTTTGAAGGTAGGTTGACTCTCTGCTTTATCCTGCTTCCTTTTTTTTTAGTTCCATGAATTGATTTTCTAGCTGTGCTTGGGCAGATAGAGATTCTGTGGTAACTACATAAAGTGTCTGTACAGGAACCACCACTGTTATGGCTGTTAATTTTGCATTTTATTAGTTAGGTTTAATGTGCGAGATGAGATTTGGGGAGTGGGAGAGGGTGGGGAGGGCAACGAAACATGCCGTAAACCCTACTTTATTTTCCTAATGGAATTATGGTTTCTCAATGAAAATATAGTAAGAATGATGCAGTGTTCTGTGCACCTGTGCTGTGGACATATTCAGCTTATTTATTTTCAGTTATGTTTACTATATTTTCAAAACCACGATTTATTTGTTAGCTGGCACCATTTTCCAATCTCTGAACGCTGCCATTTGTAGGTGATTATCTTCGGGAGAATGTGTCCTATCGCAATGCTGAAATGTGTCCTAGTGTAAGAGCATTCATTTTAAAAGTTAAGACTTAGACAACTGCTGCTCTGATGAACAAAATCACATTCCCATGTGCTGTGAAGTCTGTGGGGACTTGCTTTTCAAGGCTATGGAAGGTTTACTTAAAATGTCTTAAAAGGAGAGAATGGGAAATGAGGATTTCTTAATGGTTTTATGAGAAAATATTTTTTATGGTTATCAGTTATGATGGCAAGGGTGCTGTTTTGCATTTACATTTTTTTCTTCCTACTAAAATCCCAGTGTGTTAGGGTTGTCAAATGCACTGTCAAGACACTTTTTCACTTAGTAATACAGAGTTATTCTTTCATTCATTTTTGCCTGACAAGTTTTTCAATCCTGTACTTTTCTTTTCTTTCAAATTTCCCTTTGGGAAATTAATGGAATAGTAGTTCATGTGCCAAGTTTGAATTGTCTAAGGGGAAATGTAAAGGGTGTACTAATAAAAGGAAATTCTACCAAATAAAGGCAAATAACACTTTAATGCGTTCTTGGAAAAACAGAGGTAGGCGTGAAACTTGTCTATAATTTAATGCCTGAAATGCTATTATTTAAGGACACAATTTCAATTCTTTTTCAAGGGTTTTAAGTATATTTGCCTTAAAATTGAATTTCAAAGTTGATTTTAAAAAGGAGTATGGCTTGCAAAGACCTTGTGGGAGGACTAGTCATTTTGGTTTGCTTGGTCAAGCTTCCCCAGCTAAATACTTTGTTGGATGTAGACACAGAAGCTAGTTGGGTCAGTATTTCAGACAAGAAATGGCAGGATATTTTCCTAATGACTGATCAAGCTTCTAGTTCCATTGGTAAGATTGAGAATTAAGTTTAGCGACCTAAACAAAAACTCCAAAGTCTCCTGTCTATCCCTTTGACTTATAAACCTGCTTCTGCCAACATTTTCTTGGCTATTTCACTGACATTACTTTTTTTAAATTTTTTATTTTAAGAGAGAGAGTTTTACTATAGAGCAGGTGTACTCACCAGAGAGATAGAAAGTGAGAAATCACCCCCCAGGAAAGATGGCCACACCACTGTCCCTTCTCCTCCATTCTCCTCTCGGGATTTTGGACATGCAAGCACACATGCCTGGTGTGTTACAAGCCTCTGTGTTGGAGACTCGAACTGCATTCGGCCAGGTGGGAGTCCAACGACATAACCATTACGCTATCTGCTGGTCCCAACATAACAGTTTTTTATTTCTGTTGCAAAGGTGAACCCCGGAGGTTCAGACAATTGAGGTGCATTGGGAGCTGGCAGGGAGGGGCAGGTCGAGATTGCTTAGTGATGGGCTGCCCTGCTCACCCCAGGCCTGGTGACCTAGAGCCCTGCGAGCTTCCCACCTGAGCGCCTCTCTGCCTAACTCTTCCCCATTTGGCCACATAGGCTGTGCCAGCTGTGCGTCCGAGGAGAGGCTCTTTCACAAACTGTTCTCCCGTTACAACCAGTTCATCAGGCCCGTGGAGAACGTTTCAGACCCGGTCACCGTGTACTTCGAAGTGGCCATCACACAGCTGGCCGACGTGGTGAGTGCCTGAGTTCACCGTGTGAACCTCGATGCCTGACTCTGGGGGGGCAGAAACCATTCCCAACACTTGCGTTTTTTTGCCCTGGTTATTAAGGGAATGTAATAAATAGAAATAAGCAAAAATTTACACGAATGCCGGGGTACATTTTTTATACCTATCCTGTTGGGAGGTGACACTTTTCCAAATGAGGCTTCCCTTGTTCGCATCCAAGTGAAGCAGTGACTTTTCCTTTCCTTTTTTAAGAGGTTTTTGCCACATGGCATGTGCACTCACCAGAGAGAGAGAGAGATGGTGAGAGGGAAAGTGAGAGATCACCCTCCCAGGCGGGAAGGCAATGCTGCAATCCCTTCTCCTCCATTCTCCTCCTAGGATTTTGGACATACACGCACATATGCCTGGTGTGATTTTCAAGCCCTCAGGTCTAGGACTCAGATTGCTGTTGGCAATGTAGGAGTCCAGCACCTTAACCACTATACTACCTGCTAGCCCCGAGGTAGTGATTTCCTGCAAGTGTTTACAGAGCCAGGTGATGAGGCAAAGGGGTCTTTACCGGCCCCTAAGTCCAGCTGCTTCCACTAGGGATCAATGAAAGAAGAGGCCGAGGTTGAAAAGGAAGTTTATTTCTGCAACCAGGTTTTAGGGAGACAGAGAGCAAGCATCACCGAGCTGTCTCTGGGTGCTCAGTATGTGCTCAGTATTTACAGATACAAGACGTGTGCATGCGCAGACGATTTCTCACGACTATCTGTCAGTCGCGTTCCCCCCGAGTAATTGTGCTGAGTCCTTCAAATACCCATTCCTGGTTTCTCATTTGACCCCTCCTCAAACAGACCTCCCGTGACTCAGCACTTGGCCAGATGGATCTGGTTAGAGGCCTTTCTAAATCTCAAAATGGCTGCAGTCTTGCTTAACCTCAATCTGGCCTGCTTCCGGGTGAGGGAAGTTGCAGGGAGACTATGATGGGCGCCAGCTTCATTGCACGCCCACTAAGCACCAGGTGCTGAGTCTACCCCAGCTGGCCTGACCGTCCTCCCCGTCTTGGTGCCGAGGGAGGGGAGCCCAGTTAACTGAGCATCCCGAGGCCATATATTATACGAAGCAGTGAAACTGGGAGATTTCAGTTCTGTCTGTTGAACTCTAAAGTTCATACTTCTTTTTACTCCTTAGAAAAAGAATTGTTTTCAATCTTCTATGTTATGTAACACAGGAGGAAAAACAAAAACATAAGACAGAAAAATAAAATTCACTTTCCTTTGTATATAGTCCCATTCAGCCCTGAGAAAAAAGCAGTCTGGGAATTAGGAGATCTTGCTTTAACTTACTGTGACCATGTGAAAGGGCAGGTGGACTAGAATTCTTTTTTTTTGTGAATAATCTTCCTTCCTTCATTGCTGGGAGAGGATGTAGCAGGACCCAAGGCTCCCAGGTAGCGCAGGGGTGTGGGCTCCAGAGCTCAGAGCAAATCCAGGATCAGGGAGGCTCAGGAGATCAGGGGCTCCAAAGCACCCCCAGACAGAGCTGTTGGAGAGAGTTCCTGAGACCATGGGACGCGAAAAAGGGAGTCCCTCTCATCAGGCCCACCCCAGCCCATACTCCAGACTGTCGATGAAGTGGAGGTGGCTTTTCCAGATGTACTTGGGGAAACTTTACACACCTGCTGTGGTCCGTGCCTCTGGGGGACAAGTCTCGCTATCCCTGGCCTGGTGCCCTGGTGGTCCAGGCTGGAAGTGGAGATACTGGCTTAAAATGAGAACTCCAGATGTTTTCTCTCACCCAGATGGCCCCCTCATTCCTTTAAAAACTGTATTTAGTATCTACTCTGATCCCCTTCCCAGTCCCACAAGCTTAGTGCTGGCGATACGTCTCGTGTGAGCTGGAAGCCATCCTACCGTGGACTGGGTCATGGTGAATGGAGAACAGAACAGAATCTCCTCACATCTGTGAGGGCCACCTCATGCCTCCCTTGTGCCCTGTCAGCAGTTGGTCCTCAAGATTGTGGGTGGGGGCTGCTGAAGGCAGGTTCTGACGTTCACATTTGCTACTAGCATCAGAGATAAAAAACAGCAGCAGGGGCTGGCAGGTGTGTGGTGCCCAGGGGCGCTGGACTCCCACACGCCTAACCACAGTTTGAGTCCCAGACCAGGCAGCTTGCTTTCTCATTCTCTCTCTTTCTTTCTCACTCTGTCCCTGTCTGGTCAAATTAAAATAAATAGATAAATGAAGTTAAATAAAATAATTCTTCAAACATAAAACAGCAGCATAGCTTAAATAGAACAAGTTTCTTTCTTTCTTATGTAACAGAAATCTAAAGGCTAACAACCTAGGGGGTTAGCACAGGGCTTTTTGGCCTCAGAAGCTGCACCACCGTGTACAGGGGCCCAGCAGTGCACTGCACAAAACCAGGGGGTGACACTTTCAGGGGTGATGATCCTAATAGCATGAACCATATATGGCAACGGTGACCAAGGGCCCCTCTCTCTTTCCATTTGCCATTCTTTGCATGGTTTCTTCCCTCACTGTTGCCTCTTGGCTCATCATATTCATAGTGTGGGCAAGAAGCAGGAGGTAGGGAGAAAAGGGCAAAAGGGGAACATACCAGACGCCGGTGACTTCCTCAAGAAGCTTTCTTAAAGTCCTGCTGACAGCTCTGCTTTCTAGCTCATCGACTTTCTCCAGCTGCTAGAAGACGAGATACATGTAGGTGGTGTTTCTTTTCTTCCTTTAATATTGTGTAGGGCCTGAGCACTCATGAGAGAGAGAGAGAGAAGGCACACCCCACACAATGAAGCATGGTCATGCCACAATCCCTTCTCCTCTCCGTTCTGTCTTAGATACATATACACATGCACTTGGCATGAGTTTTCAAGCTGTTGGAGTAGGATCCAAACCATGGTCAGCCATGTGAGATCCCTGTCCCTTAACTGCTGGGCTATGGGTCTGGCCATAGGTGGTGCTTTTTAAAATTATTATTGAAAAAAAAGTTAAAGGGTTTCTTTTTCTTTCTTTCTTTTTTCTTTTCTTAGGTTTTTGTGGTTTTTGTTGTTGTTTTGTTGTTTTGCTTTTTTTTTGCTATAGGGCATGAACACTCACCAGAAAAATAGAGAGAGACAGAGAGACAGAATGTGAGAAATCACCCCTCAGGGGAGATGGCCACGCTGCAATCCCTTCTCCATTCTCCTCTTGGGATTTTGGGCATGCACACACATACACACACACATACATGCATGCACCTGGTAACAGAAACATTATGCCATCTGCTGGTCCCAGGGCTTCTTTCTTTTTAAATCAATATTTAGGTTTTATTTATTATTATTATTTTAATCTGAAAGAGAGGCAGAAGGAAAGGGAAAGTAAGAAAGCAAGCCACCAAGTCTGGTCCTCAGACCATGGTTGGCCACATGGGAGTCCAGCTCCTCAACCACCATGCCATCTACTGGCCTCTTTAATTAAAATTGTATTTGTTTAGATTATTATAGACTCACGGGCACTTGTAAAAAATAACAGTGAGATCCTTTGTGTATGTGCTCCAGTTTTACCCACTAATCTGTCCTCCATTCATAAAACATTGTCATTTCACAAATGTTACATATAGGCCAGTCTGTGGCACAGTGGTTAAGGTAGCAGGATCCCATGTGGCTGACCACACAGTTCAAATCCTTGACCTCATGGCTTGAAAACCATGCTGAGTACATGTGCGCATGTGCCCAAAATCTAAGAAGAGAATGGAGAAGAGGGGCTTGTGGCATGGCCATCCCCCTGGGGTGTGTGTGTGTGTGCTTTTTCACTCTCTCTGTGTCTCTCTCCAGCAAGTACATATGCCCTATAGCAAAATTTTAAAATGTTATATCTAAATGGAATCATACACATGTGAACTCTGGGATTGGTTCTTTCACTCAGATTATTCCTTAGCCATTCGCTTAAGCCACGGGGTACACCAGTAGTTCCTTCCTTCTTGTTGCTGAGAGGTAGTCCGTGTTGCTGACAACCTATGCTCTACTTAACCATTTCCTTTTAGAAGAGCATTTGGTCTGATTCCCATTTTCGGTCTATTACAAGTAAAGCTGTTATGCACATCTGTGTACAGGGTTTTGTGTACACATACATCTTCCTTTCTCTGGGATAAACACCCAGGTGTATAACTGCTGGGTCACATGGTAGCTGTCAGGTGAGCTCTGCGATGCAATACAGCCAGGCTGCACATCACTCTCCCTTCTAGAAGACCTCTAGATACCTGCTGCCACCTGGGTCCCCAGACCCCTGTGCTCCAGAGAGCTCTACGGGAATTGTGTTTGCTACCGTGCAAAATGACTCAACGTTCTTTGGCTGGTGTGGGACCATGCCACTGACCCCTCCCAGTAACCCAGGGACTAGCTCCTGCCCCTTTAAAGTCCTGCCATATCTAAAATGAAACATTTGAAGCCTCTTAAAACATAGCTCACCTGGCCTTTCCACTCTGAATCTTTTGCCGCTGCTCCTCAGAAACTTATCCATCAGAAATCGTAATTCAAAGCCTTTAATGCAGTTGGGGGTGTCAGCTAATTTATTCTCTAAGGAAGAGGTACAGGGTGACAGCCCTGGGCACATGCGATAGTGCTGTAGGTATATGGGCTGTTGACGCCAGGACCCACTAGTGCAGTCTTGGATGGAGACCACTTCAGGTCCTGGGCCAATACCTCCCAGTGTCTACCCGTCCGTGGACAAGTCCACCCCACAGGGAGCTTCCCAGCCTGCGG